CCTGCATGTTGTTTTCTTTCAGATGACGTGCCCGCGCGGTCCAGAATAGTAAAATATCTTGCCGCGTAGATTGGCCTTATAAGCTGAACCATGGAGGAAGGAACCCGAAACGGAGAAGAGCGCCACACATGCAGTCCGGCTTGATGCTATCAAATGCTTTGGCCCAGTCAAACATGAGTAGAGAAAGCCCCCCGTCGCTGTCCAAGTGCGCAGCGTCGACCATACGCCTCACTAACATTAGCGCGTCTTTGGTTCCTTTCCCTGGTCTGAACCCATGTTGCGATTGTCGCGAGCGGTGCTCTGGTCCGCCCTGGACCAGGCGCCGGTGAAGAAGTGCTGCTCATATTAAATATCCGGCCGGTAATAATGAGATAGGCCTGTAGTTTGCCGGTAAGGCCGCGCTTCCCCTTTGAAAAGTAAAACCACATGCGAGCGTCTCCATGCTTCTGGAATCGATTTGTGTTCCCAACACATCTGACACATGTCCAACAGTATGTCGCGCGCAATAGAATCTGACCCCAAGATTTTCCAGAAATCTGGCGAGATATCGCCTGGGCCCGCGGCCATCCCTTTCTTGAGTTTTTGCAGTGCTGCCTTCAACTCGCCGGCGGCAAAAGGAGATGTGCCCACAGGAGGTGCGGCGCCCGAAGGTATATTATGATCTGGGCGTGTGTCCCGAAATTTGCACTCCCAGTGCTCGTTCTCGAAATAATGCGCTATCGCGTCAGCGCGTTCTTCCGTGCCGGCTGGAGTGCCATCGGGGCGCTGTATAGTGGCATTTTTTGTTTTGTTTTTGTGTTTTTTCTTTCCCGCAAGTATCGAACAGCATCTCAATTCCCATTCTTAGTAAGATCGTGTAACCATAATTCTCGGTCTCTCTCTTTCCAGATTTTCTTATCAAGATGTGAAGCCGTTTCTCATTATCGTGATCCCCAGCTCGCCGGTCAGCGCCGCGTTCAGCAATCAAGTCGAGCGCGCCCTGGCTCGCCCATGGGCGTTTCGCTGCAGATCGCGAAACTGGCAAGACAGATGCTGCTTCAGCAAAGGTGCGTTCTAGATCGGCCGCTGCGGTGTCCAAGTTGTAGGCGGCTTCCCGCGGTAGCATTGCGTTTGCAAATGCGTTCGAACATCTGATTTGTGTTTCCAAGTCGCGTAAAGCCTGCGCGTCCATCCTCTGCTTAAGCTGTTTCTGCTGCGTTTCGAACTATATGTGCATGTCCGCAACGGAAAGGAAATGCCGATTATTTAATGCGTCTGTGCGGCTGCTCCAGCAGTCCGTGATGGTGTCGACCATTTTTTGATGGCATAATACGTGATATATCTGAGAATGTTGACGTCGTAAAAGTGCTGTCCGTTGGATTGACTCCCAAATTTCGGCACGTGACTTTCATCGAATCGGGGTGGCCAGAGAAAGTGCTCGCAGTGGCGAGGTCGCGAGCCGCGCAAGTTTCCAAGAGCCGTTGCCGGTTAGATAACTGTGCACTGGCACTCTCAATGATAGCTTCATTGCGATGGGGAGTCCCAGGGAGGTTCTGAAACACATGGGCCCCGATCATATCCTCTTCTCCCGGCCCTTGCCGCAGAAGTTGCGCGTTGGTCGTGCTGTGCGTAGTCGTAGCCCGGATGAGGTCCAGCAACTCGTAGTGGGCGGCTTGGCGCTTCTCGTAGTCCAGGCCGCTCTGAGGGGCATATGCGGTGATCAAGGTCAGCACCCCTCCTCGAAACTTTATTCGGAGTGAGGCCAACCTGTCTGAGCAGGCCTTGAAGGCGACAATGGACTTGGGGATTTTTGGGTTCACCAGGAAGCCAACCCCTGCGTAGGTGCGAGTTTCAACATCCAAACTGCCAAATAAGAAGATCTGGAAATCGTTTTTCATGTAGTACTCCGCCCCGTGCAAATGTGTCTCCTGAGTGCATAAAACGTGTATGTCGTGATACAACATGCTCTGGATAAGCTCGTGAAGTTTGATGATTGAATCACCTCGGAGGCCTTCAACATTCCAGGTGCCGATGCGTTTGATGTGGCACGGAATGCGCAACTGTCTCTGCGCGTTCAATCCGGGAGGGTTTTGAGGAGAATGGGAGGAAGAAGCTCGTGGAGGGTCAGCGTTGGTAGATTCGCCAACCTCGGCGCGTCTTCCAAGGTGGGGCGATGGAATCGAAGGCGCCACGGGGGGCGCAGCATTGCTCGAAGATGTAGTCGGGCACTTCTTGTCTATGGCGTCTCGGTCCGCGATGGTATCTTTGCCCATCCTGGCCGAACCGCGAAAAACAGATGCAAGGCCGAGCGCTGGAACTGTATCGTCGTCGATGTTGATAGAATTTGAGCGTTCTCGCATTAAACCAGAACTGTGCGTATCGTAAATGCGCTCCACAGATGCATTGTCGCCTGCGGCGCTGGCGCCGTCGTGAACGCTCATGTGCACGCGTGCTGCCGGGGCTGGTCCGTGGGAAGGTAACGAAGAAGATCTTGGACGTACGGGTAGCGTGGGTGAAACTGTCGGGGGTAGGTAGCATTGCCCTCTCCCAGAGAAGCCGGGACGGCGTTGGAGAAGAGAGTCGGTGATGTAGAAGTAGGGTTAACGTTCGAAACTGCATCGACGTCAAAAACTGTCGTGTGCTGGGCGCGGACATCACGAAATATAAAAAAAAACATGCTTTCCCAAATCGGCTCCGACACTGGGCAGACAAGTCCGTGACGTGGTAGATGTAGCCAATGCCTGCCGTGCGTCCTATTTTGGCGCTGTGCCTTTGGGCTCTCCTTTTGCTCCGCCTTTTTGCCCCTGAGCGCTCGATGAATGATGTCATTGCATTTTGTTGTCAATTCTGAAAGTTTGGGGTGGTTTTGCAGATCGCCCCAAGCCTGCCAACTATCTTCCCACGCCGTCTCGAATGCCATGTTGTGTACATTCACCGTCAAAGCCAACTGCCCTCCAACTTCTAGTGTGTAAGGCGCTTCCTCTCACACCCTGATGGTGCATGGATTATGCGGGCCGTTTTTGAGCAAGTGTTTCACCCCAAAGCATCGTTGCGTATATATGATTCGGGGTTGGGGCTTGCATTGAAGATAACTGCTCTCTGATAAATGTGCATGCCGTGGCGATGGAATCAACATTGGCAAGGTTGCCAATGACCGCTGTGCTAGCACGATTGCCATGGTAGTGGTAAGCGTTTGCCGTGCCTTGCGAAGCTGCTTGGGATGTTCCAGCATATGATTTCGGTGTAGTTGCCAAGCTTGCCATCTCTTGCCGCGTCTCCTCTATAGCGTTTTCCATGTTAGTAGTACGTATGTGCAAATTTTCAATATCACTGTTTACCGTATCTTGCAACTCCCCGAAGTCTTTGCGCAAAGGGTCCACAGCCTTCCGCAAGTCGTCCTGCGAGACACCGTGCTGCTTGATCGCTCGGATGTCGTTTTTGATGGGGTCAAAATGCTTGTTGAGAATGGCCTCGAAGGTCGCCGCCGTAAGTCCAGCGTCCGACGCTGCCATGAGGCTCCTTTGGAATCCATGCTGGCGTGCATGTACTTGAGCCTCTGCCCCGCCAGCCGGAGGTTGATGTGAATCAGCTGCTGCTCGAGATGATTCTGACAGTGCTGGGGCTTCCATCTCCATGCCGTCCATCTCGTTCAGCGGGCTCCTGGCGCGAGCAGTTCCAGCTTTAGGTGCTGTAGCTGGAGGAGACGATGGAGAAGCGATGTCGTGCGTCTCTGCAGCGAAAAGCTGTCGCACAGGGGTACCTGGCATGCGCCCGCCCGAGGAAGACATCGCAGCCCACAGGGGTGGTGTTAGGCAAGAGCGAATTGTATAAAGGCTGCCCCAGACACGGGTGTAATCTCGAATCAAAGTGATGAGCGAGAAAATGTATGGTACTCGGAGCTGGTATGGTACTTGCGCCTGTGTCGCCATATAGAAATGGAAACGGCCCGGGACCGCAAGTTTCAGGGCCCCCATGCAAAACAAAGAGAAGACACCACGGTCCGAGGGTTCTCGGCCGCCAGCGGCCGCGAGACGGAGCCAGAGCGTTTCAAGATCCGTGGCCTGGGGAGGCCTGGGTCTCGGGATGGAGCGCCCGCTGGGCCTCCCTTCGTCGGCAGGGTGCCGACCTTCAAGAACAAGAGGAAAAGGTTTGCGATTCTTCCCCGCGTGTCGGACATCCTGCTTAAATCCACGGGCTGGCAGTCAATAGGCAGATGTCCGGCGGTGCGAGTGGTATAAAACCAGCACCGCACGCACAGGACAACATGTCCTGGAGAGACCCAGCATCTGTGGCCACGGGCAACTCCTGGGGGGACGATCCCACTGTCGGGCATAACCTGCGCTTGCACAGTGGTGGCACTCAAGGACGGCCGAGGGTTGCGTACAGTAGCCCGACGCATTTTAGCTGGCTGGAAGGCGGGACCCGAACGGTCAGGAATCTGAAATTCTTGCGCAACATGCTGCAAATTGTCGGAAGCAGCGGTGCATGTGCAGACAATGGTGGGGTCAAAACGGGCCCGACGTCAGACAGAGCGCGGAAGACCATCACCAGTGGCCCCGAGATCCGCCCATCCGTTGCCAACAGAAAGCTCGTCAGATCCACGCTGGTGGCCTCTGATCAGCTCGATCCTAAGAGTGTCGTGGAGGCCTCCGAGGTCAGTGAATATGCCCCAGATGGCCTCCCAAAGATCTAGATTGTTTCGGCGAGGGGCGAGGCACCAACACCATTTGGGCCCGAGGCAGGCCCGTCCACGAGACCCTTGAAATCAGTGCAAACAGCCACAGGCGGGATACATTCCAGCAGCACCTGCAACAAAACATACGTACGTTTCGGCCCTCGGGGAGGTCTGGGGAGAGGAGGAGGAGGAGGAGGAGGAGGAGGAGGAGGAGGAGGAGGAGGAGGAGGAGGAGGAGGAGGAGGAGGAAGAGGAGAAGGAGGAGGAGGAGAAGGAGCAGGAGGATGCAGAAACAGAGACTGAGGAGGAGGATGACGTCGAGAGACTCGGTGGGGCTGTCGGCAGCCTGATTCTTCGCGGCGTCTCCGATCAGGCGCTCCTTGTCCGTCCAGGCCACGTACGACGGCGTGGTGCGATTGCCCATGTCGTTTGCGACGATGTGCACCTCCCCTCCCCCAACCTCCTCCTTCAACCTCCCCCCTGGTCTCTCCGTATGCCCCCTCGCCCCGCCGACCTCCCCCGCCCTCCCCTCTCCCCTCTCCTTCGCTCCCCCCTTCGCCTCCCCTCCCCGCACGTACTCGACATTAACGCTGCCCTCCCTGTCTACCCTGACAGGGTGCAGCCAGGTTCCTGCCTCTTTCGCGTATTTGCCTCCCCCGCCCTCTCCTCCCCTCTCCTTCTCTCCCCCTCCGCCCACCCTCCACACGCGCACTCAGCATGCACGCTGCCCTCCTCTCTGCCCTGCAACCAGTGCGCAGCCAGGCTCCTGCCTCTTGCGCGTGCTTGCGGGGCGGGGGCTTATCCATAACCACTGGCTGGGAGATCGAGCCTCGGGGGCCTCGGCAGACGGCGGTTATCGATACACCCCTGCCCCGGAGTATTGGCTTCGCACGCAAAAGGATGAGCGTTTGGTCACTCAACACGTGCGCCTTCAAGTTCAAGTCGGGACGTCCCGGGTCCTTCACAAGTGGGGCTGCCGCTGCATCGCTTATCGCATTCCGGCATCCGTGCTCTGCTCCTGTCGCTTCTGGAACTCGGGGCCACAACTCTAGATCCCTTTCCTTCCACTTCGTTGCCATCCTCCTCCTCGTGCTGCGCGCCGGCGCCTGCGCCTGCGCCTGCTCCCGCTCCTCCTCCCTCCCTCGTGGCGCGCGCGAGCGAACACAACTTGGCTATCCGCCTCTCCGCCTCTCCCCTCCTGTTCTCTCCTCTCCCATCCCCTGCCCCTTCTCCACTCCCCGCGTCCCCTCCCCCTCCTTTCACGTCTACGTGCTATGAGTACTACTATTCTCTCTCTCTCTCTCTCTCTCTCTTTCTCTCCCCTGACTACGTGCGGAAGATATCCCCCCTCCGCGTACTGCTCTTCTTACACACAGGATTGTGCCGATGCTTTTTTATTCAGGTGTTTTGCAATACGATTGTTTTCGGTGTTCCACCATGCTCCCATCGTTTGGGATGGCGCTCTTTCCCCAACGCGGGCCGCTTTTCTGGATCCGAACCTTGCTCATCTTTGTCACCCCCCCTCATTTCCCATTCTCCACCTTCCCCCGGCCCTCCTGCTACTCCCACTCCTTTCGCTCCAGGTCCTGCTGCTGCTGTTTGTCCTCGTCCTCATCCTTCCTCATCCTCCCACTCTTCCCCCTGCTCGTCAGCCACCTCTTCCTCGTCCTTTGTACGCAGCTCCCATTTTCCGATTACGCATAAATGATTGGCTCTTTTTTGGAGTTCCAGGACGGCTATGACACGCGCCCACGGATAGAGAAACATCAACGTAATGGGAATGGATGGGAGGGAGGAGCATGGTGTCAAATATGGCGCGAATGCACCCAACTTGTCCTCCCCCCTCTCCTCCGCTACCCTCCCCTTGGACCACCCCACTGTGCTCACCTCCACTCAGCCAGCCTCCTCCCTTCTCGGCGGCGAGCGAGGGGGGCAAGTGAGAAGGATAAGGCCTTCGCAGAAGGCGGCGGCACTTCGCAGAAGACCCCGCGCCTGCTGAGAAGTTGTTTGTGTCTTCAGGGAAAGCTGCGAAATCTTCTCGGAAGGCCGGGGGGACTTCAGAGCCTTCCGAGAAGGCCCGCCCCTTCTCACTTCCCCCCCCTCGCTCGCCGCCGATTCTCCTGCCTCCAACGACAGGCCAGAGATCCCTGGAGGTCTCTAAGAGGCCGCCAAAGGTCCTCGGAGGTCTCCTCCAGACATCCCCCGAGAGCATTGGAGGGGGACAAAACGCCTCGGCGTCCTTGAACACGCCCACGCACGAGTAGGTGGTGCCGAGGTCGATGCCCATCGAGTACTCCTTCTTCTTGTCGCCCTCAGCCGCATTCGCCTCCGACGTCTCGCCTCCAGTCGCGGCGGCATCCGCGGCTCCCCCTGGCGTCGGCTCAGCATCATCCTGGTGGCTTGCGCACAACTAGGGCAGGGCGGAGGGAGGGCCCTCTCAGAGAGACGGCGACGTAACTGAAGGGGCCCTGGGACACACAAATAAATACACACAAATAAAAATATTCCCCATATTTTCCCATATTTTCTGGGTTTTTGTCTTCCCCACCACTTCCCATATTTTCGCATATTTTCCTGGGAATCGACGATTAATTGTGTCTGTGCGTTTCTTCCCCTCCTGAGTAACTCTCGAGGGTCCCTGGGCGGTGGTGGAGGCTCTCGTCGCTTGGGCGCGGAGTCCTGGCGAGCGAGAGGGGGAAAAAAAGGCTCCCTCTTCGGGCCCCGAAGGGCCCCTCTGGGATCCGAAAGGGCTCCTCCAGGGGACCCCAGAGGGTCCATCTTCGGCAGCCCTCGCTGCCCCCCCCCCTTGATCGCACAAATTTATTCGGGACCGGCCAAGAGGGGGGTGTCCAAGAGGGGGGGGTGCAAATCATGACCGGCGGCATGTGCGCGGCCCAACGGGGGGGCCAGGGACGTAACGAAACAAGAAGAGGCGCCGATAGTCTGGGGAAATATCATGGCCCACGCCATGATATCCACCCCCCCTGGTCATCAACCCTCTCTTTTCCGCCCCCGATTTATCGCCGGTCACGTCGCCCAAGCTGAGCGCTGCCCAGAAGCTGGCCATGCTGGACTCTGGGAGGCGTGCCCCCCCACTTCCAGCAGCGCTCGGCGAGTGAGGCTCCCGAGCGAGGAGGGCTCCTCCGAGGGCGGGAGGGCTTCTGAGGGGCCGGGCCTCCCCCTCGAGGGGCACCACGCCTGCCCAGACGGGAACTTTCGAATTCAGTGGGTCATCCCGGCGGACATCTTGGGGTGACGCCGGACCCCCCCCCCCTGCCGCAACCCCGACCGGCCCCCCTCCCCTGGGCGCCCTCCGCGCGATGGGGGGAAGGGTATGAGGAGGGGCCAGCGCCGACCCGAGAGACCCGCGCGGACCTATGAAGTTTTCACTGGGGGCGCCGTGACCAGAAGAATGCCGATCCACTCATCACGCCTGTCCTGCGCTGGAGTCCGGGAGCAGAAGGCAGGACGATACGACTTGCCAACCGCCGAGGAGGAGGAAGGGGAGGGCCAGGGAGATTCCGCAGACCACGGACATCTGAACTTTACATGCTGACTGCATTTCTCGTTCCTCGTCCCTCTCCCTGCCCTTCTTGCGCGTCGGCCCCGCATCCTCCGTCGTCGGAGCCATCACCCGACAGAGGCCCGATCGACCCCGAGCAGAGCAGCAACGATTGCCATGTGGTGTTTGCTGCGGCCTGGGGCAAATGGGCTATGGTAAAGATGGGGCGGGGCGAGGGGAGGAGGGAGGCGGAATAATGGAGGAAGTGGAACGGAGGAGGCAGGAGGAGGGACGGGGGTGACTTGAGGAGGATGCGTGAAGGAAAAGGGAGGAGGGATGATGCACGAGGAGAGGAGACGGGATGAGAATGGAGAGGATGAAGGTCGAGAAGGGAGGTGGATGAGGGCACATTTGATGAGGAAGACGACAACGCGCAGGGTGGAGAAAGTGGATGCGCGGAGCCAGGAGAGCATCGGGAAGGACGAGAACGTCAACTCAGAAGGGGGGTATGGGGGCAGCCCATTCTCCTCCTCCTCCTCCTCCTCCTTCCCTCCCCTCTCTCATCCTCCTACGTCCCCACTCTCGCCCCTCTCCTCCCCCACGGCTGCCTCCTCTCCCATCCCTTCCTCCCTCTGCCGTCCTCCCTCCTCCCTCCTCTGGTACGCTCCCCCTCCAGCTCCCTCCCCATTCCTCCTCCCCTCCTGCGTTTTCCCGAGACACCAAATCTCGACCCTCGGTCAATATCTTCCCTCTTTCCCTGAATGCTTCCTTCTTTTTCCTTTCTTCTCCGGACGTCGACGCCGACGTCTTGACGACGACGACGACTGCGACTGCCGCTTTCAAAGCGTGCGGCACTCCCACGGCTGTCGGGGCCGTGCACCCTGCCTCCACGGATTGCCTCCCTCGTCCCTCTTCTTTCGTCCCTCCTCCTTTCCCGCCTTCTCCCCTCCTCCCTCCTACCCACCTCACCCTCACCCCCCCTCCTCCCCTTCTTCCCTTCCTCCATTCCCCCCCCTTCCTCTCTCTCTCTCTCTCTCTCTCTCTCTCCTCTCTCTCCCGTCCACTCTCCTCCCTTGTTTTGGGGGCATCGAAGGCCATGTCTGAAAAACGAGACAACCCCGCCACACCCTGAACTATCCGTCGCACTCGGCTGACAACAATGGGTCTCGACCGCCCCACCCTTCTCACCAGGGTGTCTCCCCGACGATTTTTCCAAGTTCTTCCGCCCCGTGACGGTGGGAGGGGAAGGGAAAGACGCTGAACCCTTGATCTGGGTCCCCGAGCTATATACTTTACAGCTCACGCGTGCGTAAAGGAATGGCTTATCAAAACGTTGCAATGCTATCATACAGTGGTGAAGTTTTCGCTGCACGATTGTGGCATCAAAGCGGCTGTGTCCACAACAACCTTGAGGAGACGGCTGACGCTCGGCCGGGGAACCTTTCATGCAGACTCTGACTCTCCAGACTCCAGACATGACCCCCCCCTGTGGTGCTGGCGATGAGACGCCGAAGGAAGCGGGGGGGCGGAGGAAGGAATGACCCACCAAGGAACTTCACGCGAGGCCAGAGGGGAAAAGCGGAGCAACGAGGGTTAAAACAGCTTTGGGAGCATTGATATTTAAATCCAGCTTCCCAACATCCTGGGGATCAAAGGAAGGATGTTTGGCAACAGCCCTTTTGGCCCCAACGTCGGCCAAGCTGTTCCCTACCCTGTTGAAGCCATGCGCACCGCGGTCAATGCCATGTGCGTCGGGGTCCGTATGTGCACCCGCCTTAGCCAAGGAGCTGAGCCTGCCTTCCGCCAAATACACACCCTGCAACAACAAGCCTGAATTGTGTTTTGGGGGACTTGCAAGAATCGGGTTTATGAGGGTGCTGCTTATCAAACTGACTGCAATCACTATCGGCGAGGGGGCAGGGAAATTTACGGCCCCCCCTTTTTCATCGATCGCCTCCAAGATAGTCTCAACAGGCCCTCCAGGGCTCCCAAAAGGGCCCCTAGACCCCCCGAGCGAGCTCCAATAGGAGTCCAACATCCCCAAAGAGTCCGAATACGGTTTCAAGAAGCGATTTTGGAGGCCGGGGTGTTCTGGGAGTTCCCTCGGCAGCGCAGGCCGCATCAAAGTTCCCCATTCAGAGCTTGCCTCTGCAGGGGTCCTAGCGGGTTCATATGGTTAGGTTAGGTTTGCCGACGATTTTCGCTGCACGCCCGGGTACCCTGGGCCCGGGGGTGCCCGGGTACCCGGGCGTGCCCGGCCGTGCCCAGGGGTGCCCGGGCGTGCCCGGGGGTGCCCGGGGGTGCCCGGGGGTACCCTATAGCCCTATAGCCCTACAGCCTTATAGCCCATAGCCCAATAGCCCTATAGCCCTACAGCCCTATAGCCCTACAGCTCTATAGCCCTATAGCCCCATAGCCCTATAGCTCAATAGCCCTATAGCCCTATAGCCGTATAGCCTTATAGCTCTATAGGCCTATACCCCTATACCCTATAGCCCTGTAGCTTTATTACCCTATAGCCCCATGGCCCTATAGCCCTACAACCCTAAAACTAATGATACTTGAGATGGTCGGAAATGGTCCGACATGGTCTAGTATATATGTATATATATATATATATATATATATATACTAGAACCATCGCGCGCGCTTCGCGCGCGCGATGCCTTCAGCCCAGGCCGGGGGGCGCTATCAAGCACAGGCGCGCGACGGCATCTGAGGAGCTTCTGGGGTGTTCCGCATGCTTCGTCAACTGGCTGTTGGAGGCACCTCTTGGGTGCTTCTTGGGGGGGCGTCTGAGGGTCCCTTGGGGGCGTCGGTTCTGCAATCTGAAGCCGTCATTGGCCGTCTTGGCTGCGTGGAGGCCCGACTTGAGGCCACCTGCGGCCAGATTGAGGCAATCCGGAAGCCCCCCGGGGGCCTCCTGGAAGCAGTTTTGACGCATCGAGGGCACTCTTGGGCTATTTTAAAACCTCGTGGACGTCTCCTAGGGGCCTTTTGGGCCCTCGGGAAGCTTTTGGCGTCCTCGTCGGACCACTTGAGGGCCTCTTGCGGCCTCCTGTGGGTCTTTTGGGGGGAACGCTCTGCTGTTGGGTCGCGTTTCCCTTCTTGGGCTTCTCTTGGGGCTCTTGGGGCCCTCTCGGGCCGTCTTGAGCGCCTCAAGCACCGTCTTGGGGCCCTCGCGGGCCGTCTTGGGGCCCTCTTGGAGGCCTCTTCCTCTACATTGGAGCGGTATTGGAAGCCTCTTGGGCCGTCTTGGAGCTTCGGGATGCTAGAAGGCCGAAAACATTAAAACCCGTCAAAGCCCAATCATAAAACAATGAGTTGTGCCTCTTGGGGCCACCTCGGGAGATCTCTTGGAACCTCGTCGGCCCTCTTGGGAGCTTTTTGGGGGCCTCTTGGATCCGATTGGGGGCCTCTTGGGACTTCCCGAGAAGCTCTCGGGGTAGAAAGCTCGGATTCTCGGTTCGTGCTTCCCTTCTTGGGCCTCTCTTGGGGCCGTCTTGGGGCCCTCTCGGGCCGTCTTGGGCGCCTCAGGCACCGCCTTGGGGCCCTCGTGGGCCGCCCAGGGCCCTCTTGGAAGCCTCTTCGGCTATCTTGGAGCTGTCTTGGAGGCCTCTTCCTCCTCCTCGTCCCCCTCCTCCTCCTCCCACTCCAGCTCTCTCTCCTCCTGATCTTCCTCCTCCTCCTCCTGCAGCGTGTTCCGGAAGGCTCCCGCCGGAACATGCTGTGCACAAGTGCTGTCACTGCTCCCGCCACCGTGCCCTGGGTGGTGGGTCAGAGGCCTCATGGGTGTTGGTTTGGATCTCGTGGTTGGCCTGTCGGGGACGTCGTGAAGGCAGTTTCGCAGCTTCCCGGTAGCCGTTTTGGGACCGTTGTTGGGCCTCCTCGGGGCTGTTTCGTGGGTGCCTCTTGGGGGCCTCCTGGGGCCTCTTGGGGGCTACTTGGGCCTCCTGGGGACTCTTCAAGCCGGAGGGTCGAATGTTGGAATCGTGGTCCCCCTCTTGGGCGCATCTTGGGGCTCTGTTGGGCTGTCTTGGGCGACTCTGGGGCCCTCTTGGGGCCCTCCTGGGCCGTCTTGGGGCGCTCTTGGGGGCCTATTGAGCCGTCTTGGAACGTCGGACAGACGAAAAGGCTGGGAGGCCAAAATCGTTCGAAAACCTTCGTAACATTGACGATTTCGGTCTCTTGAAGCGCTCTGGAGAGGCGTCTTGAAGCGTCGTGGAATGCCTTGGGGGGCCTCTCGGGCCGTCTTGTGCCTATCTTGGGCGTCCTGGAGCGGTCTTTCGTCCGGAACGCGCTTGGGCAAGCGCTGGGTTTGGGGAAGGCGAGTGCGAACCGTTCAGGCAGTTTGGGATGCTCGGGGCAAGAGGCGGAAACCATCCTCATAAGACATGCAGTCTTCCTGGAGTCCGCCGGAACGCCTGGAATGATCACGCGCTGCGGTTTCCCATGCCAACGTCCTCGGACGTGGGCGCCCTGCCACGAACGCGTTCCGGGAAGATGCTCCCGGAACGCGCTGAAAAGATCTCGAGGCTCCAAGGTGGCCTCCAAGAGACCCCAAGAAATCTGATAGATATCACGGTACGGCCCGAAGAGGCCAAAGTCGTATATGTTCAATAGTCTTTTTACCTAACATCGAAGACTGATAGGTTTCTAATGGGCTAAAAAGAGAGCAGCACATTACTCCACAGGGGGGTCTGGGCAGCCGTTGGGGAGCCGTTGGGGATTTCCGGGGGGATCCGCGAAACCTCGTTTTTCGCAAACAGTCACACACTTCGTGCTCTTCGACCTCCCAGAACTCCATTCCCGGGTCACATTCTGAATGCCCGGAGCCAAGACATCCGCCGTACTTCACTGTTACTACTACTGCCATCCACCCACTCCAATTATACTTCACTTCACTGTTACCACTACACCCACTACTACTACTACACTTCACTCGTTCACTCCCGCCAACTACAACTACTACTTCACTGCTACCACTGTTTCATCTCTCCTACTCTTATTGCTACTACTACTACTGTGACTGTTACTGCTGCTGCATGCCTCCAGCTATGCTTCTACATATCGATGTTAGGTTGCTTTGCCGGGATAATCAATGTTTTTGGCTTCTCGCGTTTTCGAAC